TCTACCTATCTTGAAGTGTAGGTGCAGTGAGAATATGCTCTCTTTGGGTATTTACCAAATATTGTTGATTCATTCAAGGGGAACTGGATCTTTACATGATTTATATGAGGCCAAATAGAAAGTCTGACCCATATTCCTGGAGAAAAATAAGCATTAATTAATTTTTTCAGTAATTTTCTTCATAGTTCTAAAATAATTATTGTATTTTAAAATTCTCAAAAAATTAGAAAGTGAAGGCAACATAACCAACTTATAATTGAGGATTTTATTGGAACATAATGATTTATTTTGTTTATTGTTAGTGGACCTTCTCAAATTAAATGATTATTCCTAACACCTGTGTAATATAACAGCTAATAATAACACTTGATAGCAAGATGACATATCATGGAGTTTGTTCACACTGAGTTTTCCAGCACAGCGTTTTCATTTGTCTTCAACTTGACATTTTTAAGACAAATTTTACTTTCTCTTGGGTCCTGCCCTATGTTATTTCATATAGATTGGATCTATATTTTGAATAATAAAAGAAGTGGATGGAGACAGAATATAGCAGATTTAATGCATGTTAATACCACTGTTCTTCATGTGAGAAAATTATCTCAGCAAAATTAACCATTAATTTTTCATTAGAATTATTTAGCACTTTAAAATATCCTTAAATTCTCTTGGAATATATATGAAATATTAGAATGTAGAAATAAAATACTTTCTGAAATAAACATAATATTTTATTTCCTTGTACATTGTGAAAAAAAAAATCTAGTCCTCAAGCACATTTCCAGTTAGAGAATGTTTAATAAGGCACACAACATGTCAGCAGCTTTGAAACATCACTCACAAATGAACAGGCTATGGAATGAATTTAAAATATAAATAGTATACACAGAAACATTACGATATCCCATACTATGCCAAGTATTTGAATTGTAGGCTGTCAAATGACATAGGAGATTGTATTACATGACTGAAAGAAACACTTTTGTATGTGATCATTAATTTTATTTGCCACTTTGACTGGGCTAAGGGATGCCCATATAGCTGGTAAAACATTTCCAGATGTATCTATGAGGGTTTTATTTTAAAGAGATTAGCATTCGTATCAGTAGATGAAGTAAGGAAAATCCACCAACATCAATGCAGGCAGGTAACATCTAATCCATTGTGGGCCTCAATAGATTAAAAAGGCAGAGGAATTCTATCTCTTCTTGAGCTACAATGGTCATCTTTTCCAGTTCTAAAATACTGGCATTCCTCTTCTCTGGCCTGCAGATTCCAGGTCTTAATACAAGTGCCTCCTGTCTGCCTTCTTCAGTTTTCAAGCCTTTGGCCTCACACTGGGGTTCTCAGGCATTCAGACACAACCTGTATTATACCACTGGATTTCCTGATTCTCCAGCTTGCTGACAGAATATCATGGGACTCTGTGGCCTCTACAATCATGTTAGCCAATCTCCATAATAAATCCTCTCTTTTATATTTATATATATCTATTGGTTCTATTTCTCTGAAGAACTTTGAATAATACAATGTGTGAAATGTTGATTTACATAAAAGAGTCCACAGTGTTTTGCCTTGCACCAGTTAACATTATTAATCTAGGAAAAGAAAAGCTTATATTAAGTGAGAATATTATAATTTTAATTGATGGTTAGTAATTATTTTGAAACAATGATTACCCTGAGGGGGGTTGTATTTGGATATCACAGAAGCAAATAAAATTAACAAGTGTCATTTCAGATTTACAACTTTTAAAAGTAGATATGAATTTGATTAATTTTTAAATTTTGAGTTAGTGTTATGCAAATATTGGTAACAAATTCTATAAGAGACTGTATTAGTCAGTTTTGCATTGCTATAAAGAAATCACCAAGGCTGGGTAAGCTATAAAGGAAACAGATTTATTTGGCTAACAGTTCTGCAAGTTGTACAAGCATGGCACCAGTATCTTCTTGGCTACTGATGAGGCCTCAGAAATCTTTTATTCATGGTGGAAGACAAAGAAGGAGCAGGCATGTCACATGGTGAGAGAGAGCGAGCAAGAGAGAAAAAAGGAGGTGCTAGGCTTCTTTAAACAACCAGCTCTCATGTGAACTCACAGAGCAAGAACTCACTGATTACCATGAGGATGATGCCAAGCCCTTTATTAGGGATCTTCCCCAATAATCCAAATACCCATCACCAGTCCCCACCTCTAACATTGAGGATCACCCTTCAACCTGAGATTTGGAGGGAACAAAATTCCAAACTATATCATTCTGTCCCTGGTCTCTGAAATCTCATGTCCTTCTCACACTGTAATACATAATCACCCTTTCTCAACAGTCCCCTGGTCTTAACTCATTCTAGCATAAACTCAAAAGTCCAAAGTTCAAAGTTTCATCTAAGACTTGAGACACATTTATTCCACCTATAAGCCTGTAAGATCAAAAACAAGGTATTAATTTCACAATGCTAGTGAAGGCATCAGGGAAACATTTCCATTCCAAAAGAGAGAAATAATCCAAAAGATAGGGGGAACATTCCCCATGTATGTTTGAAGCCCCAAAGAGCAGGTATTACAATTTTAAACCTCCAAAATCATTTCCTTTGACTCTATGTCTCATATTTCTGCATACACTGGTACAAGCGGTGGGTTCCCAAGGTCTTGGGAAGCTCCACCACTGCAGCTTTGCTGAATGCAGTCCAGGTGGCTTCTTTCATGGGTTGGTGTTAAATGCCTATAGCTTTTCCAGGCTCACAGTACAAGCTGCCCATGGCTCTACCATTCTCAGGTCTGGATGGTGGCAGCCCACTTCTTACAGCTCAGTAGACAGTGCCCTGATGGGGACTAAGTGTGGTCGCTCCAATCCAAATTTCCTTTTGGCACTTCCATTGTAGAGGCTCTCTGTGGGGCCTCTGCCCCTGCAGGAGCCTTCTCCCTAGGCACCTAGGCTTTCTGATACACCCTCAATCTAGGTAGAATCTAGCAAGCTTCCTTCACTCTTGCATTTTGTACACCTGCAGACCCAACTCCATGTGGAAATCACAAAATCTTACCGCTTACATTCTCTGGAGCAGAAGCCCATACTGTATCCGAGGCTCTTTGAGCCCAGGCTGGAGCTGCTCAGATTCTGAGAGCAGCATTTTGAGGTGGCACAGGGCAGCAGTACCTTGTGCCTGGCCCTATAAACCATTCTTTCCTTCTAGGTATCTGGGTCTGTGATGGGAGGAACTGTCTCCAAGATTTCTGAAATGCATCTGAGGACTTTCTCCCATTATCTTGAATATTAGCACTTGTCTCCCTTTTAGTCAAACTAATCTCTTTAGCAAGTTGTTGCTTCACAACTCATTTGAATTCCTCTCCTAAAAATGCACTTTCCTTTTCTGCCACGAGTGGCAGAGAAAAATGCTCTGCTTCCTTTTCAATTATAAGTTCCAACTTTAAGTCATTTTTTATGCTCATATATGATTGTAGGTTGTTGGAAGCAGCCACATCACTTCTTGAATGTTTTGCTGCTTAGAAATTTCTTCTGCCAGATATCCTAGGTCACCACTCTTAAGTTTAACCTTCCAAAATCTTTAGGGCATGGACACAATGCAGCCAAGATTTTTGCTAAGGCATAACAAGAATAACTTTTATTCCATTTTCCAATAGATTACTTGTTTCTGTCAAAGGCCTCATAAGCCTGGTCTTCACTATCCATCTTTCTGTCAGTATTTTGGTCACAACCATTTAGCCAGTACTAAGAAGTTTCAAACTTTCCCTCATCTGCTGTCTTCTTCTGATACTTTCAAAGTCTTCCAACCTCGGCTTGCTTCCCAGTTCCAAAGTTGCTTCCCTTTTTCATGTATCTTTATGGCAATGCCCCACATCTGTATTAGGCAGTTTTGTGTTGTCATTAATGAATACCTGAGGCTGGGTAATTTATAAAGAAAGTAAGTTTATTTGGCTCAGTTTTCCAGGGTCAACATGCATGGCAACAACATCTGCTTGGCTTCTGGTGAGGAATCAGGAAGCCTTTATTCATGGTGGAAGATGGAAGGAGGGCAGGTATGTCATATGGTGAGAGAATGAGCAAGAGAGAGATACCAGGCTCTTTTGAACATCCAGCTCTTTCACAGCTAATAGAGTGAGAATTCACTCATTACCCAACGAGGACACTAGGCCATTCAGAAGGGATCCGTCCCCTTGACCCAAAACCTCTCATTACGCTCCACCTCCAACATTAAGGATGGCATTTTGACATGAGATTTGGAAAGGACAAACATCCAAATCATGTCAGAGACATAAAAAGTAATTGAAATTCAGGATCACAGTATTCAGTCAAATCACACACGGTTTATCATAAAAATCTTTCAATTCAGTTTGTTCAAGCATACCTCTTACCCATAGTAATTTCTACAAATGTCTCTTCTTTCATCCTGTATTGCCAGTTTTATTGTACATACTGTAATTTTCTTTAATATCCTACTATGTTACAACTTATTAGCTTCTATTCACTTCTCCTTCATACTCAATTGCATTTCCTATTTGAGTATTTATAGTATTTGGAGGGCCAAACATAGGTGGCTGCATTATTACTCTGTTATTACTAGAGCTCTCAATTTTTAGATAAAGTTTTAAATACTGCCAGCCTTAGATTTTCATATATGCTTGATCTTAATTGAACATTGAGGATGTTACATACTTGACCTGAACCAAAAATATAAAAAGCAATAACCTTAGAAATGAAAGCCAGAAGATGTCCCAGAAAAGAAGGGACTGTTGCTATTAATGGTAACCTGGGAATTGGCAGAGATTTTAGTAATTTCAAAACAAAGTGTTTTGAAATACTGCTAATATCAGCACAATTAATTCAGAATATGATATTATAAAAGGGCTGTGTATAGCTATGTTGTCTTTGTACATAACATACATACACACACTCACTTGAGTATCCCAATTTGTCTGTGAAATATCTCTGCTCTTTTAAAACTCTTATCCAATGAAATGGTGTAACAGAAAGGTATTTATGCACTTACCAAATAGGTCCTTATCTTCAATGATTGCCATCTCAACCTCTTTTTTGGTAATTATTGTGCATGTGAAAGGAACTTGAAGAAGGACGCTAATCTCACCAAAGGATTCCTTCTCCTTAAGTTTACCCATATAAACAAGTCTTCTAGCTTTTTTCTGTAAAAAAGAATATATATATATATATATATAATTGATGTTTAATGCAATTGCTTTCAGGTAATGAATCAGTATTTTTATCAGAAACTCACTAATAATTCATTTTACTATAAAATCTTTAAATTATCAATTTTATTCAAATTAGAGAAAAATTTACTTATATATATGTTTCAATTATATTAGAGCAATAGAAAATTCATAGGCAACTTAGGAATATCTAAGGTAATTGAAAGCATTGTCGTTTAGAATCCACAAAGATGTTTGGGAAATACTGAACTAATTCCACTTTTGAAGGATCTACGATATCATTTTGTGAGCATAGTTTCCTGTAGGGAGTTTTGTCAACTGCCATTTTTTACCTCAGCCCTGGTCACAAGGCATTCTTGTTGAACCCACCAAGAAGAAGGAAAATAAGCTGAAATGGCCAGGACCAGAACTGATGGGATAAAATACAAGAGGAGGGACTATTCCCTGTCTTTTCTGTTTAAGTACAAAAGAAACATATGGAAAATGTGTTTGACTCGAATTTTGATTCAAATAAGAGACCTTGTGGAGAAGGGCCTACAGGAGTTTCAGTATGAATGATTCTGGAGAAAATGTTGAGACTTCAAATTACCTTTGCTGGGAGGTTTGCTAGGAGTTGGTGGGCACTAAGATATATATTAAAAGAGAATGTAGCCCTCAGGGTAGGAGAGTGACAAGAACTTGGAAGAGGCGAATTCCTTTACTAAGTATCCTGGAGTCAAATCCAATATAACTTGAATATGTGCACCAATATAAATGGCAAAATTTACACTGAATATGACTAGTGCAGCAGAATTCAAGTTAGTTTACATATTTAATTGAATTTCATTGAAGACTGACCAACTAATGATTAGTTCTAACTTTTCTATCACAATAATTACGTATTGTTGCCAATTCTACAACTTTGTAAAAATGGAATTATATAGAATGTGCTCATTTGGGTTTGGCATTTTGGCCCAACATAATGTTTGAGATCCTTAGACGTATCCATAATTATTTTTACCACTGTGTGGCATTTTATAATATAAATATACCATAACATTTCTATACATTCAACTGTCAGTGCACATTTGGATTACTTCCAGTTTTTAGTTTGTAAGAATTCATATAGTCTTTGTGTATACATATGTTTTCACTTCTCTGGAGAAAATTTATCTAAAGTTGAATTAGGTCAATTGATTAAGTGCATCTTAGCCAATCTGATATGTTTGTAATAGTATCTGGCTATGGTTTTAATTTGCATTTCTCTGATGCATAAGAATGTAGAGCATATTTTACTGTATTCATTGGTCATTTGTATATCTTACAAATCAATATATCTTACAACTTATATTCTTATATCTTAAAACTAAACAAAATAAACACAAAAATTTCAAAAAATTAAATAGAAATTTCACAAAGTGATACAAATAAATGTCCAGTAAATACATGAGAAGATGTTTAACACTCTTAATTCTTTAGATTAATTGATTACAAAGAATGCATAAGTTGAAAACTTACCACTTTATTTGACTGTAGTTTCACAAATCCTATAATACTTCTGTAAATGTTACAGCATCCAGAGTTAATATAACCCACAAAAGAAATTATATTTCCACTTTCCACTATCACTGAAAAGAAGAGAGAGAGTTCGTTTCACACATTCTTGTGGTTAAGAAATTATTTTAGATATTTTAACAATAAAAGATAATGTATTTAATTCAATAACTATTAATGGTAAATTTCTTAATAGATTCCAGTTTATAGACAGTACTTACTTAACACAAGATTTAAAAAAAATATGCCCAGTATTTATATCTCTAACATAATACCTACAACACTGCAAACACTGACAAGAATTTGGCAGTAAAGGCATTGATGTGCTGGTAAACTGTGCAGTGGAGGAAAGAAAGAGGAATATGGAAGAAGCCTTGATATGTAGCATTTGCTGAGTTCCAAGGTTTAAATATTTCCACCATGGCTCATTTCAAATTTCTGATAGCTTAACAACAAACTTACAATATTGATAAATATTTGAAAATTGGTTCTCTAGAGCCTGTATCTTGGCCAACACTGTACTGATGACACTAGTAGATAGTAGTTAAAAGCAAGGGCTTTCTGGCCACATTGGCCTAGTTTGAACCTACTCAACTACTTCCTATGTCACCTTCGATAAATGACACAGCCCCTCCGAGCTTCAAATTTTTCATCTTTAAAACAGAAAAAATTAAGAGTCCTTACTTTAAACTTGATATAATGCACATGGGCATATAAAGTACTTAGCATGTTATCTGGTATACAGTATAACACAATAAATCATGTTATTACAATAATCAATGTTATTATTATTCTTTTAAATTTGTAAAGTCACCCTAAGGCCAAGATATATATGAAGGTGAACTCTATTATAGTTTTATAACTATCAGTGTATTAAAATAAAAATCACTTGATCTACATAACATTTTAAATTATCAACATGATTTAAATACTTAATTGGCAACATATACATTAAAATTAGCATTTCAAATTATTTTCTACTTTATGAATTCTAAAACATATCAATACTTAATTCTGAAAATTTTAAACACAGCAGTAGCAACCTAAATATAAAGACACATGTACAACTTTCTCATAATTTATAAAGTATATAGACTATTAAAAACAAGTTTTTTGAACACTTGAAGGCATTTCCATTTGTTTTCTAGCATAAAAGAGCATACATAAACATGACAAAGATTATTGATATTATCAAAATAATAAAGAAGTTAGAGCATAGCAGAGTGCTTTAAAAATTATGGTTAAAATAAGAACACAGTACCCCGTCTCTACTAAAAATACAAAAAATTAGCTGGGCATGGTGGCGCGTGCCTGTAATCCCAGCTACTCGGGAGGCTGAGGCAGGGGAATTGCCTGAACCCAGGAGGCGGAGGTTGTGGTGAGCCGAGACCGCGCCATTGCACTCCAGCCTGGGTAACGAGCGAAACTCCATCTCAAAATAAATAAATAAATAAATAAATAAGAAGAACACAGTAACTATTGTTAAATATAATTTACCACAAGCAAAAAATAAACATCATCAAAGAATGGAAAAAGTAATTCAGGATATTTTGAAGTGGGATTCAGTGATTTTTCTGGCCTGTTTATGAGGATAGTCTATCTTCTCCTCATGTAACAGTTAATTCAAAGTTTATAGTAAAAAATTAAATGGTTATTCGACTGTCGTCAATCATTTATTTTGTTTAAATAAAAATTTATGGTAATTCTTCTGTTGTCTTATGTTTTTTACAGCAGAAAATGACATTAAAATTGTCTTACCATGTAAATGATAACAAATGTGTAGAATTATGTGAAACATTTTCTCACAGATTTTTCTCTTAAAGCTAAACTTCTCTATCAAAACATATGAGAGTAGAAACTATATACCTTCTTTTAGCCAATCAGTGAGGATATAAAGAAAAACTTAGAGGCTTCTAACAATTTGTAGAGATAAGGAAATAATGCACTTAAACATGTGCTAAAGAAGTACGTTATTTTTAACAATCAGATCTGTACTACTATAGTTCTTGAAAGTCAAGCCCTATGTAGATCACAGAGAAGCATACGTCACACCAAAGAAGCACAGGAATTTTTCTTTGTGTTGAAGTAAAGCCAACATTGGAAAAGCCAAACCATTGTTGCAAAATCTATGACGCAGTTTCATTCCCTAGAAGGGGAATTGGCTGCATCATTGTCTATGGCCCCTGATAATCATAGAAAATGCTCATCTCAATGAAGACAATACAGCAAAACCCTTCTGACCTAGGTTAAAAGCTGGAATTTAATAACATTTAAAAATTGTATCTTCTGGAAGGGCTCAGTAGCTCACAATTGTAATCCAAGCACTTTGAGAGGCTGAGGAGGGCAGATCTCTGAGGTCACGAGTTCGTGACCAGCCTGGCCAACATGACAAAACCCCATCTCTACTAAAAATACAAAAATTAGCTGGACATGGTGGTGCACATTTGTAATCTCAGCTACTCAGGAGGCTGAAGCAGAATAGCTTGAATCCAGGCGGTGGAGGTTGCAGTGAGTAGAGGTCATGTCACTGCACTCCAGCCTGGGTGACAGAGCGAGACTCCATGTCAAAAAAAAATTGTATCTTCACACTTAAATAAGAAAATTTAAATATTAATATTACTATTTGGGACTAGAAACAGACTCATGCAGTTACTCCCCACCCTCATTGTTGTTCCTAATTTTACTCATTCAGCCTCTGATCATGTTTTCCATTTCTAAGAACTTATACTGTCAAGATAAATGTTGTTTGCATATCCTTTCTTCCTGCATTACATAGAAAATGACAAATAACATATTGTAATCTGTAGAATTATAACAGATTTTTATGTGAAAAGATTTAATCATGAACTAAATAGACCAAATTTTACTTATTATCTCAAGGTCATATTCATTTGTGTTTACAAAATATAGTTGAATTTGTAGTTAAAAGTAATATTTTAAAGAGCCTTATCAAGACTCAGATCCATAAGACCAGAAAGTATTAATCACTGTGAACAGAACAAACTTGATTTTGTCATAGGGCAAATGAAAAGAAGAACATCAGTGGGATTCACAGAAATTAAACATCAGGCATTGTTCCTTTTCTTTTGTTGTTTATCATATGCCCAGAAATAGTCCCAAGTCTAATAAAACCACTTTATTCTAATTCTTAAGTCAGCTAGAAGAAGTTATGATAAGAGGAATAATTCCCTACTGGCAATTAGAATCAGCACTGGGACAGTGAAGGTCTCATTTAAATAGAAACTAATGATTAGAGAGATTATTAAAGGGCATCCTCTTATTTTAAGATAAACCTCAG